CAAAACAAAAAAAGCATTGGCTACGGTCAAAGCTGATCTAATCCACGCCTTCCTCTCGGTGAGTCCAACAAGGTTGTTTTCACTAAGTGATTCTCTCTCTGAATATCTTGTTCCTGTCATTGCCCTCAGCAGTTAAAATATCTTTCATATTATTGTGTTTGATAATAACAGGTGATACATTTGTAGTCTCATTTAAGTGCAGTCATCTTAACAATGGATAACATGCTCACAAACAGAGTACCATATATCGCAGCTTATTAGACATTTTTTTTTCCATAAAATGTCTCCAAAAACCATCCTATGTCTATAAGTTGAAGGTCAGTAATGGGTGCTATAAGTTTGGGGTGTGGGGTGGGCTGTAGCTCTTCCAGTTATGTCCAGTGCCAAGCCTTTGAAACTAAAACTGGTTTTCTAAGCTACGAAATATGGTATGTTTGTAATTACTGAAGATTGGCAAAGCTAGAGTAAGATGTTGAGATGTAGAACAAGAGGCCTGGGGATGCCAGAATGGAGATGACTATTAGACAGTGTGTAGGGAGTCACTTAAATGATATTACATCCAAGGGGGAAAAAAAAGGTGCAGATAAGGCGATAAAAGAGAGGCAAGAGCAAAAACAAGTGTGCTGGGTGTAAAAGCTTATTCCTCTATAAGCAATACTTCGCATTATCTATTTTTTCGAATAACTTTCATTATTCTCCATTGGGGAGTGGGGCAGAATTCTTCCTCTGTAAGCTGTGAGTGTCATAAGAGGTGACTAAAATGCCAGGAGCAAGGGCCTAGTATCCTGTATACATTACTGAACTTAAAAAAAGACACTTTTGTTTTTCTTTTTGGTCCACCCTGCATCGGTGGGACATGGTCAATTTGTTGAAAGATGAAGACCTTTCTGTATGTCCTTGGCCCTAATATCTCTCAAAAAGTCATGCTTGGGATTTTTACAGTTGGTACCTAAAGAAGAGTTGGCAACTTTTCTTAAGAGTGTGCCAGTTGTAAAACATTTTCTGAAAGTTTCTTTTGTGTACCCATAAGAATTTTGAACATCAAAATTATTTTTTTTTAACATGGTCATTTCCTACTGAGGCAGGGTGACCCAAAAAAAGAAAGAAAAACTTTCACCATCATTCATACATAATCACTGTCTTTGCAGAGGTGCTCATATGTCACTTCAAACAGCCAGTATCCCAAACCCCTCCTTTAAAGTGCAGGCATTGTACTTCCCATCTCCAGGACTCAGGTCTGGCTAACCGGTTTCCCTGAATCTCTTCACAAAATATTACCCTACTCACACTCCAACAGGTCGTCAGGTCCCAAAAACCATTTGTCTCCATTCACTCTATGTAACATGCTCATACAGACCTGCTGGAAGTCCAAGCCCCTTGCACACAAAACCACCTTTACCATCCTCTCCAACCTTTCCTAAGATGACCCCTCCCCCACTATCCACTACAGATTTATATGTTCTCTCCAAGTTATTCTACTTTGTTCCATCTTCAGCCCTCTGACTAATACTTTTAGTGACTCTAAGCCCCCTCCTAAATTCTCTGCATAATATTTACACCTCATATTGCCCTTGGACACAACATCTTCACTGCCTCCTCCTTGCTGCAGCATTTACAACCCATGCTTCACACCCATATGAGTGTTGGTACCACTATACTTTCATACATTCCTTTCCTTGCCTCCATGGATAACATTTTTTGTCTCCCCAGATACATAAAAGCACCACTCACCTTTTTTCCTTTATCAGTTGTATGGTTAACCTCATCCGTTATAAACCCATCTGCTGACAAGTCAACTCCCAAATATATGAACACCTTCACTTCTTCCATACTCAGTCTCTCCAATGTGATATCCAGTTTTTCTTTACCTAAATTATTTGATACCCTCATTACCTTATCTATCTATGTTCACTTTTAACTTTCTTCCTTTACACCTCCCAAACCATCCACTAACCTTTGCAACTTTTCTTTAGAATCAAAATTATTGTTATGATTATTTTTTATTCAGTGCAGTACTGTATTATGACCATGGGATGGTTCTTTTGAGAGATTCTGAAGACAAGTTGCAGAGGTTTGTAGAGGATTCTGAGAAGGTATGTAAAAGGAAATTAAAAGTGAAAATAGGAAAGAGCAAAGTAATAAGGGGAAACAAAACATCTAGGCAATGAAAGATTGGGATATCAGCTTGGAGGAAGGCAGTATAGAGGAAGTGAATGTGTTCACATATTTAGGAATGGACTTGTCAGCAGACGGATATATGAAAGATTAGGTAAACCATAGAATTATAAGAAGGGGAAAAAAAACGGAGGTTGGTGAGTTGAGGCATCTGTGAAGACAAAAACTTAGTCCATGAGGCAAAAAGGGGGATTTTCCAAAGTATAGTGGGGTGTGAAGTGTTGTCTTCAGAATATTGTGGTAAGAAAGAAGTCAGGGCGTCAGTGAAGATGTTGAGTTTTAAAGCACAATTATGAATGAATAATTGTTCAGAGAATTCGTAGCATGGAAATTAGAAGGCAAGAGGTTACCAAAAGTATAATAGAGTGCTGAGGATGGGGTTGTTGAAGTGGTTGGGCATTAGTAAAATAAAGACTAGGAGAGTATATAAATCTGGGATGCAGGGAAGGAGGGGATGGGAGTCATCCCCTGAAGGGTTAGAGGGGCATTAAAGGTTTTGAGTGCTAGGGGTTTGAACATCCAACAAGCTAATGTGAGCATGTTTGATGGAAGCAGAGGCAAGTGGGTTTTGTAACCTGATGGGATGTTGGAGTGTGAGCAAGGTAACATTTATATGGGGGATTCAGGGAAACCTGTTAGCTGGACTTGAGTCCTGGAGAATGACAGTGTCTGCACTCAAAAGAAAAGGTGGAGGTGTTGCAATTAGAGGATAATCTGATGGTGATGTCAGAACACCTCTGGAAAGATGGCAATTGAATGAATGATGGTGAATGTTTTTTCTTCTATGGTTCACCCTGCCTTAGCAGAGAATTGGCAAGATAAAAAAATCACACGCACACGTGCCTTCTCCTCTCACTCTCCTCTCTCATCCCCACATTCTCTATCTCTCTCTCTCTCTCTCTCTCTCTCTCTCCTCTCACTCTCTCTCTCCTCTCATCCCTCTCTCTCCCTCTCTCTCTCTCCCTCTCTCCTCTCCCTCTCTCTCCCTCTCTTCTCTCTCCTCTCTCGCTCTCCTCACCTCCCCTCTCTCTCTCCTCTTCACTCTCCCTCTCATCCTCTCTCTCTCCCACAATCGACTTCTCCTCCTCTCTCTCTCTCCATCTCTCTCTCTCTCTCTCAACTCTCCCTCCCTCGCCCTCCTCCCCCCCCCCCCACGGGGGGGGGGGGGGGGGAAAAAACACAACAACACAAACCCGCCACTCCCTCTCCAACTCTCCCTCTCCTCTCTCTCTCTCTCTCCCTCACTCTCCCTCTCTCTCTCCCTCCCTCTCTCCCCTCTTCTCTCCCTTCACTCCCTCCCACTCTCTCCCTTCCTCCCTCTATTTTCTCTCCCTCCCTCCCTCTCTCTCTCTCTCTCTCCCTCCCTCCCCTCCCTCCTCTCTCTCTCTCTCCCTCCCTCCTCCCTCTCTCTACCTCCCTCCCTCCCTCCCTCTCTCCCTCCCCTCCCTCCTTCTCCCTCCCCTCCTTCTCCCTCCCTCCTCTCCCTCCCTCCTCCCTCCACTCCTCTCCCCTCCCTCCCTCCCTCTCCCTCACCCTCCCTCTCCCTCCCTCCCTCCCCCCCTCCCTCCTCCCCCCCTCCTCCCCCCCTCCCTCCCTCCCTCCCTCCCTCCCTCTCTCCCTCTCTCTCTCCCTCTCTCCCTCACTCTCTCTCCTCCTCCCTCCGCTCTCTCTCTCTCGTATCCTCTCTCTCTCTCTCTCACCTCATCTCATCTCCTCTCTCTCCTCTCTCTCTCTTCTCTCTCTTTTTTTTTACACAGGGTTTGACAAAGGTTTAAGGATCCCTAGCTTTATTGACCGCTTATTTAAACCGGTTAAGGATTCCTAACTTTATTGGCAAAGCTAAGACTGTTACCCAGTACAACAGCTCATTTGAAAGCATTTTTTATTGTTATGAGACATACTAGTAGGGAAACAGATGAATTGGAGCAAAATCTGTGGCCAGCATTTTCATTTGATCAACTGCATTTATCTCGTTTGACATCATTATGCTTAACGAATGTGTTTCCATACTCAAGTCCATCCTGGGTATGTATGATATCAGATGGAGTGATGTTCTGAGAAGGGTACAGCCAGAGTGAAGGTTGCTGCTTTCTCCTCAACCTCTCTCCACCTCTCTCTCTCCTCATCTCTCTCTCTACTCTCTCTCCTCTCTCTTCACTCTCTTCCACCCCTCTCCTCCCCCTCTCCCTCCCTCTCTCATCCCTCCCTCCCTCCCTCCCTCCCCCTCTCTCTCTCCTCCTCCATCCCTCATCCCTCCCTCCCTCTCTTCTCCCTCCCTCCCTCCCTACCCTCTCCTCTCCCTCCCTCCCTCCCTCCCTCCCTCCTCACTCCCTCCTCCCTCCCTCCCTCCCCTCCCTCCACTCTCTTAAGACAGGCACTAGCGCCTCCATCTCTCCCTCTTCTCTCCCTCCCTCCCTCTTCTCCCTCTCTCCTCTCCCTCTCTACCCTCCCTCCCTCTCTCCTCCCTCTCCTCTCCTCTCTCTCCCTCTCTCCCCCCCTCTCTCTCCCCCTCTCCCTCTTCTCTCTCACTCTACTGTACCCCTCTCTCTCTTTCCCCCTCTCCTCCTGGTCCCCTCCTCTCTGTCCCCTCTCTCTCAATCTTCTCCTGTCCCCTCTCACTCTGTCCCCCTCTCTCTCTCTTGTTCCCTCCCCCTCCTCTCTCTCTCTCTCCTATCTGTCCCCCTCTTCTCTCTGTTCTCTCTCTCTCTGTCCCCTCTCTCTCTCTCTGTCCCCCCTCTCTCTCTCTCTCTGCCATAACAACATATTAGAGTGAGAGATATGGGAGAACAAGTAAAATAAGCCCAGTGAAAGGGAGGGGCACCATCAGCACAGTAAGAGAACATTGTATCAACATCTGTAGGCCTTTGCTGTTTAACACTACCA